CCTCAGTGTATTTTTTTTTTGTCTCCTTCTGATGACTAATCTCCAATTCAGGTGGTGGTTTTTCTTCTTTCTTGTATTGTTCTCACTTGTATTCTCCCCTATCATTCCTCCCTTGGCCTTCTGGATCTCTGCTACATTTTCTGCTTATTCACCTCCATTTCAAAGAACACATCCCTTGTAAAGTCTGAGTGAGGGGCTCAGACACAGCCCTGTTCTGTGCCATGAGTTTTGGCATTGTTATTCTCTTGGACACTTGGCCCCAAGGTAGGCCACAGACCTACCCTCTTTTCCGGTTTCCTGATTGCCCATCCCTTTCTTAATGCTGGGGGTGGCATGCTGTTGGATTAGATACCTCTTCTCGAGGAAATGATGCCAAGTTTCTTATTGAGCTGAGGGATATCTTAATCTTTTTGGAGCCCTGTAGGATTGCTTATAAGGCTTATCTAGAACAGTTCCTCTTTGGAATCAGCCTTCTGCCAGTGTGTGCTGTCATTACTGGAGCAGATATGAGGCACCCTTATCTGCTGGCTGATTTCTTGTTTTGGATGTTGCAGGGTTAAATGCAATGCAGTTACAGAATTTGGCTGCACTAGCTGCTGCAGCTAGCGCTGCTCAGAACACACCAAGTGGTACCAATGCTCTCACTACATCCAGCAGTCCCCTCAGCGTACTCACCAGTTCAGGTAAGCATGTAATCAGGGCCAGTGTGTCCTGTGTGCCTTGGGCAGAATCCCAAGAAAGGGGTATGTCATTCTGGAGAGGCGTTGACACCCATTTCCAAAGGGGTGGTATTATGAACAAATTTTCAAATGCCATCTTCAGACTTAAGAGAAATCTCATACTTTTTAATTTCTTGTAACCATCATTTGACTCTATGTCCAACAAGGATAGTTATCAAAATTAGTAACTGAAAACCTCTTTAAAAAGAGAATACTTAAGTTGTGTCACTCTTGGGCTTTGGTTCCTGTTGACATGAGAAGGCAGGTGTTGGATTGCGTTTAACTCATGGATTTCTGACAGCAGGGTCTTCACCGAGCTCCAGCAGCAGCAGCTCTGTCAACCCCATTGCCTCCCTTGGAGCCTTGCAGACATTAGCTGGAGCGACAGCAGGCCTCAATGTCAGCTCTTTGGCAGGTAAGAGGCAGCCCTTGGATGTCATCAAGCCATTCTTTGTGCAGGTAGCACATGTTAAACAACCCTAGGAGCATCATTAGAATGATTGGGTGGCCCACTGAACTTAGAAATAATAATGGGATTTCAGTTCAGGCTTGAGTTTAATCCCACCTCTGTCCCTTAACTAGCTGTAACTTTTGACCACCTATCTAAGGTCATTTTCTTTCAAGTGAGAGTAGAATACATTGAGGGTTATTAGGAAGTTAAACGAGAACATAGGTAAAGTTCTAAGCACATTGCTCAGCACAGTGTCTGGCATGTAGAATGTACTCAGTAATGTTAGGCGCTGTTTTTACAATACAGTTTACCTACATCTTGTCATAGACATGCGCCCTTTTAGTCTCCAATCCTAGGACTCTTATTTTACCAGATTCCAGCTCTGTGTAAGAAAGTAGCAGAAAAGCCAAAGAGAAAATGGGGCAAGTCGTATATGTGTGGTATCACTTCTTGCACAGGTTGGAGGAAGGTAATAGGGAAGAGACACACCTGGGTGTGGCATTTTTTAAATGTCCCCATTAGCAGTAAGGCCTGGTGAGTGTTGTGAAATCTGACCACTCAGATGAGTATTTCTCCTCATGGTGAAGATAAGAGGGAGATAAAAGGGAAGACTTTGGAGTTTGTCTTTGGCATCAGTTGAGTCTCTCTAGTCTGTTAATTTGATTCTCTCCACGCCCTGCCCCCCTCCACCCCCGCAACCAAGGGATGGCTGCTTTAAATGGTGGCCTGGGCAGCAGTGGCCTTTCCAATGGCACTGGGAGCACCATGGAGGCCCTCACACAGGCGTACTCGGGGATCCAACAGTATGCTGCCGCGGCGCTCCCCACCCTGTACAACCAGAATCTGTTGACACAGCAGAGTATTGGTGCTGCTGGGAGCCAGAAGGAAGGTAAGTGCGAAGGGAGGCTGGAGTCGGGAATGGGAGTGCTCTCTCTATCTGCCTCAGAACTTAAAGGCAGGGCACAGGCCAAGAGAAGCATTGAGTGGTCAGACCACCACTTCTTTGACAGTGTCAGGAGTAGACTGGGAAATTCTATAAAGTGTGGTCTACATTTGAGTGTTTTCTGGATATGGCTCAGATCAGAATCTCTGTATGCCCTCCTGGGATGGGGCTGCAATTCTTAGACTAAGAAACATACCAAGCTGACTGTGTCCAACACCAATTTGACAATTTGTTTTTATTAGGAAGTCTTCTCTGTGTATTATAAATCTGTCAGGATGTCGTCTATGTAGGTATCTCTTTTAGCTGTATCATTTGGCATTTTCCTCATTTTCTGATCTGTGCTTTTCCTAATTGAGGACAAATTGAAGGCTGATGGGATAGAAAGAGTTATGGCCCATGGGTCAATGCCTTAGGAAGTATTTGTTTTGATATAAATGATATTAAATTCAGGAGAGAGTTTCTAGGCAGAAAGAGGCCTGAAGGTGGTTATATGACTAGAAAGTCCTGCTGACACCTCTGTGCTCATATTTGACTGGGTTTTTCTAACCAGGAGCTGGCAAGGTATAAGCCGTAGTGAAGGAAAGACAAGTATCTTCTCTTGCCATAGCAGCAAGACGTCCTGATCTCTAGTGCATCCTTACCTGCCCTGAATCATATGCTTATGTGTGCTAGGATGTGGTAGTGGGGGAACTGATGGAACTGTGGAGACAGTAAGTAAAAGCACGAAGTGTTCCAAATGTGCTCTGAAGAATGATGAACAGGAAAGAGGAAAGGAGTTGCATTTTATATAGAAGGTCTCTCTAAGTCGCCTTTTAATCAGAGACCTGAAAGAAGTATCGATGCAGAGGAAAAAGAGTAATGGGGCCCAGGAACAGCAAAGGCCCTGAGGCAGCAATATTCCTTAATGTGTTTGACAATATCCGGGAGGCCAAGATGGCTGGAGAATGGCTGGACTGTGATTTTAATGAAACTCCTTTTTGATTATCAGAAAATCGGTGACTTGAGTGGTTGGAAGAGGAAAGCATATTCTATTTTTTAGTTCAGTGTTAATGATAGACACACTTTTTTTTAAAACCCTTTTACCATTTAAAAAAAGTGCAGCTTGCTGCCAGCGTTCATTTCACATCACGCATAGGAATTGTATGTTTTCTAGAATTTGACATTTTCAGTTATCAAACTACTAAAAACAATGCTATAAACGGAATGATGTCATTTGTTTCCAAAGATTACTGATATACTACAGCAATGTGAAAATAATAAAAGTGTGATATTTCACGGCAACCTTTGGGGGTAGGGTTAGGACTGTAATCTGCGAGTTATCTTGGGGTAGACGCTGCAGCCCCAAGCACCTCTGGCAAGTATTCTTGGAGCAAATGGGGAACGGGTTAAATGTAGTTTCTCTTTACTGAGGCGCAATTTACGCATGGTAAAATTCACCTTTTTTGGACTGTAGCTCTTTGACCTTTGACGGACACATACAGTCACGTAATCACCATCACAGACGTAGAGCATTTCTATCACCCCCAGAAATTCCCTCATGTTCCTTGCCTCAACTGCCAATCTGTTTGCTGTCTCTGTAGTTTCTAGGCACAGTTTTGAAACCTGTTTTGTTTATAAACTCTACCTCCTTTTCTGTGTTCCTTTATAAGCCTCTAGTCTCTGGTTTTATTGCTCCACATGCAGGTCTGCCTATTTCATTGTCTCAGCATACCTTCCTCCCACAAGGTCAAATCTGACATCCCTCAGTGAGATGGAGCATGGCTAAACATGAAGGAAGGAGTCTGTTTCAGTGATCACCCTTCAGTTCCGTGCCTTGTATTTAGAGAATCTGTTTAGTTCTCCACGTGAACCTCTCTGTATTGGGGTGCCGACAGTTTTAACATGGGGTCATAGACAGTTGGTGCAGGGGTATGAACATGCTTGACTCTGACATCTTTTTCAATCGATGGATGTCTTAAAGGTCCAGAGGGAGCCAACCTGTTCATCTACCACCTGCCCCAGGAGTTTGGAGATCAGGACCTGCTGCAGATGTTTATGCCCTTTGGGAATGTCGTGTCTGCCAAGGTTTTTATAGACAAGCAGACAAACCTGAGCAAGTGTTTTGGTATGTTGGCTTCTCTTCCGGTATGTGGGGGGCAGGGGTGGTGAATATTACCAGTGAGAAAGAAAGAGAAGGGGCTGATAGCAGGAAGTGGGGATGGAGTTTGGGTTATTGTTTAACTCAGTCTTGAGCAGAGTACATGACTTCTTTTTGAGCCTCAGTTTTTTTTCTTTTCATTTCTGTAGTGAGCATGATTTCTGCTCACACTGTCACTCCAGGGGTTAAAGTAATGTGTAGAAAATGGCTTGGCCAAAACACTTAAAAGTACCAAGTCAATATCAGGTGGTACCGTTAGTAACCTAATTTATTTCATGTGATGTAACTTCCAGAATTCTTGTCCATCCTGAGGAAAATTGGGATTTGAGACTAAGCTCGTAAGGTATCTCTTGCATAAGGAGGACTGAGAATCTCCTTGCCTCGTTATGTCCCTCACCTAGGTTTCTGCTTGGACACACAGGTTTTGTAAGTTACGACAATCCTGTTTCGGCTCAAGCTGCCATCCAGTCCATGAACGGCTTTCAGATTGGCATGAAACGACTTAAAGTGCAGCTCAAACGTTCGAAGAATGACAGCAAGCCCTACTGAGCGTGCTCCCCTCTGAGACTGGAGTGAGAGGGTCTTCTGGTAAGTTGGGGAGGAGCACCCTTAATGATTCGAAGCCCTGAGGCTGTGTGTTGACAGCCCTGGACCCTGATCCCTGCCACTCTCGCAGGCACAGCTTGCCCTGAAGACTCAGCTACTGCCTTCTGTGGGAGTTTCGCTTCGTACAGAGGACAAGTTTGTGCTTTGGTTTCCAGTGTTTTACTTTGGAGTTTAGGTGCCATATCCTGAGTTTTTTTTCTTTATTTAAAGTTTGCTGTGTTTGTAACCAGTGTGTGTTGAGAAGGACCAACATCAAATCGCCCTGGGGGAGGAGGGGGAATGGAGAAACATTAAAAAAGATCAGAACTTGCCCCAGACTATCCCAAGAGAGAGGACTGAGTGAAACCAAAAACTGACCCCCAGAATCTCCCTGAGTGCGAGAGTGGTGGAGGAAACGAGAAGTAACATCAAGAGCGGTAGAGGGTAGAGCAGGTGGGGTTGGCGGGTGGGGAGAGTGAGGGACTCGACACCCAACAGCCCTGGGAGCTGCAGGCTGAAACTCTTTCATAGCTGCCTTCTGAGTTTTTGCCACCAATTTTCAGATTCTTGTCTAGGATTTCTGCCCCGCTTTCCTGAGAAGGGGCCAACAATTCTCTAGAAATAAAACACTTGATAAATTAGCCTGACATATGCAGAAAGCAGGGAGACATCACTCTTACCAACTTTGTCAGCCAACCATTAGTATTGGGTTGGCCCTGCCTGGCCGGTGGCTGTTAGAAAGAAGCAGCCAATCAAAGAAGTCATCCTCAGTTTATTTTAACACCAAATCATTAGACCATGGCCCATGTCTAAGACGTCCTTCTAAAGAGGCTTCTAGGGAAACACTCTGGTTTTTCTTCCTTATAGTTGACCATAGCAAGGAACGCCACTTCCATCCCAAGCCACAGTTTTCTCATGAGAGCAGAACCAAGAAGGGCTTATAGTACCTAGCTGAAGGGGCACCTCTCCAGGGCAGAGTGATCAAAAGCCATCGAGTTGGGGGAGGAGGAGCCTGCTTCTTGGTGTACCTACATCAGAAGGTCCCTTCAGGCCAGAGTGCTTCATTTGCCAGTGGCCAGCACTTGAAAGGATTTAAGAAATCCATGCTAGCCTCCTTGGTTGAGGTGTCCCAGACATAGTATTCTCACCGAGGCAGGCCCCTCTTCTATACCACTCTAGCCCCATCTTCTGCTCTTGGGGACAGAAGAGACACAGGATGTTTACAGCTTCCGTATGGATTTAGTGTTCATTTACCTCAGTATTACCGTGTTCATATTTGTCCTCGCGCTTACAGTTAGCTCCCTGCTGCTTCCCACAGGTCTCACTCCAGTTTTTGCCTGTGACCCACCCAGCCTCTGGGCTCTGCCTCTGCTCCAAGAAATGCTGTAGGGGGGTGGAGAGCCAGGAAGGACATGCTGTTGGGAATGTGCACCTGGGCACAGGTAGCCCTGTTAGGTATGACTCTAAGCCAAGGCCAGGACTAGGTCCCTGGGATTTTAAATTTCACAAACATCAGTCCTGACCCCTAGCAGAAGAGATGAGATGACGGGGGTTGGTTTGCTAGTAAGTCGGATGGGGGCTCTCTCGTCATGCTATCCATTTGGGTCACAGACAAAGATTGACCCATCTTGCTGTTATACAGGTAGTTGGTGGTGGTGGATTATCCCATTGAAGCTGGGACAGCTGTTCCCTTCTCGTAGTGATAACTTGGGTCTGTTGTCCTCTAAGAAACGTGAAACATACTTCTTAAGCTGAACCACGTAAACTTGAATTCTGCGCACTGGGTGAAATGTGTCCTGTGTTTCAAGGATAAAACTGTTCCAAAGGCTTCCAGGGTCATGATGGGATTTTTTAAATAAATGCAAAAAAATAAAAATAAAAATAAAGAAAAAAGAAAACAAAAAAAGAAAAAAATGCTAGGTTGGGGAGGCGCTGTTCTGAATCCCAACCAGCTGGAACCAAGAATGTCGTTTCTATTTTTATAGAAGTTTTATACAGCTCCGGGGTGGAGAATATTTATTACCTAAATTATATCTCTGGAAAAGGCCAGGATTTTGTAGAATCCAGAATGTGATTGTTATACACACAGGGTGCTGTGTATGATTGAAACTACTGACTTTCTGTGGCCTGTTTGCAGCCCAGCTAATCTGCCAGAGGGGGAAGGAGTTAACGCTGTGAATTGGCGGAGGAGAGAGCTGTGCTCTCCGGGGCGCTGCGGTGCTGTGATCGCTAACCTTCTGTTCCGTCTTCCTCCTTGGCCGTTGTGGGGTTTTTCAAAGCCCAGAACTCCATTCCCACTTTCTCCCCTTTCTCTCCCTCCTCCCCCCTTTCATCATTATTGTCCATGGATTTGTCCTGTGCTCTGGGACCTTAAGAACCCCCTTTCCAAATGACATGGAAGGCAGAGGTGCAACCAACCCGCCTTCGATACTAGACCCTGAGGTTTCGTACCTGTGTGTGGGTTCTCTTTTCTAAAAGGAGTATGTGCCCCAGCAGGGCCCCGGGCAGCCACAGCAGCCAGCTGGTGAGACCGGGCACTGCTGTCTGTCGTCTTCTCCCCTACCCAGTGAGTGAGCACGGCAGCACTGCCCTTGAGCACAGTTCTCTCCCCAGGCCAAAGATGGTTTTGTGAAGAAGCTGCGCCCCTACCAGTCTCATGGTGCGAAAGGGTTCAGCTCGGGGAGTGGAGACTCACAGTCAAGTCTTAAGCAATCCTTTACTGTTGTGTGGGGTTCACTTACACAAATGTGTTTTCTGCTATAGTTTTGTTTCTGACTTGGGTTTCATCATGAAATTGATTTGCCTTGAATGCAGCCAGACACTGTCTCCTGGGTCCCACATGAGTGGCCAGGGCCTGCATGGAAGCTAAGAGCTTGGATTTCTGGGAAGAAAGGGCCATTTCTATAGGATTGAGGAGAAATCCTGGCCCGCCCCCCTAAAGAATTCTCGTGTCCCTGCCAGCATCTTCTGCTTTCTCCCTGGGTGTTTACCGGGGAGTTGGGCGAGAGGCCGAGGCTCTGCTCCACCAGAGACCTTCTCAGACGAGTTCGGACACTTCGGGGGAAATCCAAGCCTTAGGTTCCCTTCTGTCTCTGGCAGTCGGATGTTTTCTTGGTGTCCTCCATGTCCTTTTTTGACTTTTCCCTGTGTCCATCGTTAGCATGTGCAAAAGTTCACTGTCATTGCCCAGCCCCTCCCCCGCCCGCCTCCTCATTTCAGGGCTGTACACAGTGAGTGTTCCTGTTCTCTCTCTCTTCGTTTGGATGTATTGCTCTGTGTAACTCAGTGGGTCTCCCTCTTTCTGGTTTGTTTTTTTTTCTAGATTCCTGCCGTTTGTTCATCGTTGTGCCTAAAGCATGTCGATGTGGCGTCAAGTACATCGTCCAAATCCCTGTCTCTTCAGCTTCTCTGATGCTTGAACTCTCACCTTTGACCTTGTGTTGACCTTTGATGCTGACGTGTATTTTTATTATGTTTGTTTCTTTCTTTGTTTTTTCTTTTTTCTTTCCTTATTTTTTTTCTTTTTTTTCTTTTTTTTTTTTTGACCTTTGATGCTGACGTGTATTTTTATTATGTTTGTTTCTTTCTTTGTTTTTTCTTTTTTCTTTCCTTTTTTTTTTTCTTTTTTTTCTTTTTTTTTTTTTTGTGCTGCCAAATTGGTTTTGCTAGAACGACTGCTGAAGGGGAAATATTTAAACTTGCATTTGAATATAAAAAAATCTATTTTTCTAGAACTTCATAAGATAACCACTTGATTTTGTGATTCCAATTCTTTGTAATTGTCTTCAGAGCAGCCCTACTAGCACATACCGTGTGGTGTTTGTATTTCTGTGAACACACAGCCAGTCCGTTTCTAGGCTTTGTTTCTGTGTGCTTAGTTTTAAAGACAACTTTGAAGTAAACAATGAAATAAAAGATGTCACTAAAACCTTTGAGGCTCCTGAGCACATTTTGCTGAAATAGTTTGTGGGGCTTGAGGAGACCGCATGTATTCTTATTTTTGTTTTTCTGAGTTCTCAACTGCAGAAAACACCTGAACCCCTTTCCTTTTTTGACAGCAGGCTGCAATTTGAGCCCCAGCCGGCCCTTTTTCTTTTTTCTTTTGTGGCTTCTCACTGCAGCGACCCTGCTGGGAGCCTTCAGACCCCCCTGGCCCCTTCCCCTCGGCCTGCTGTCCTCACCGCCATGCTTGTTCCTACAGTCTCCACAGCAAAATGTGATGCTTTGATTTTTTTGTTTTTGTTTTTGTATTGTTTTTGTGTTTTTGTTTTGAATTTTTTCCTTTCTTACTAAGATTATGCCCGGAAAAAGCAAGTTTTGCATGTTTCCTGCTGTTTCTTCACACCTTCGTATATATCACCTTCACCTCTCTGTTTTCTATAGTTTGTGCAAAAACTGACTGATTTAAAAGGGTTTCAAAGGAGCTGTTTTAAATTGTTGTGGGGTTGATTTTTTTCAAGATTGTATTGTTTAATTTTGGAGTGGCAACTTTCTCCTCTATTGCCCTAAGAGCGTTTGCCTGTGCACTTAGACTGTCACCTCATGTGGCCTCCAGGCCTCAGCGGGGCGTCCAGGAGGCTGGCTCCTCTGCTCAGAAACGGGTTGGGAGTGTGCCCAGGGAGGCATGAGGAGCAGAGATAGAATCCAGAAGGTGGCTGCGGGTGGTCAAGAGGCTTAGCGCGTTAGGGGTAGAGAGCATCCCTCAGCTGGGGAGGAGGAGGGAGCTCCAAACCACTCCGAAGAGGCCATCTGTGCACTAAGCGGCAGTACACCTGCCAGCGCTTTTCCTAGGTGACAAGCACAATACTACAGTCTTCACACTGTTTACAGCCCTGGCCACCAGCCACCCCACACTGGCTCTTCACCGCAGCTCTGCTCTTGCTTAGCTAGTGGGGTGGGGTAGGGGCGGGGGTTTGTTTTTTTAAATCAGGTGAAGAGCCAAATAGCTACTGTCCCTGGGTGCCAGGCAAGCCAGTTCCTTGGTTCCCTGAGGGGAACTTGCCCTCCTCTCTTGTGGTACCATCCAGCCTCAGGGTGTTGGGAACTTGAGTAAGAATGTGAATGGTAGAGGGCGAGGCCAGAGGAGTGAGAGGTCACAGGATGGAGCCGTGGAGGTAAGAGGTTGCAGAGGGAGGAGTTGGTGACAGAGCCCACTCAGACCTAAGCCGTGGGTGGGTGGGAGAGCTGGGAAGTAGGACTGTCCAGGGAAGGGCGGAGAGGGGTAGCTGAGGGATGTGGGAGGGGGCGGGGAAGGTAGAAGCACTGTTAGCATCGTCCATTCTGGCTGATGAAGGAAGGGATCCCAGCAGGATTTCTGCTCTGGGACCCAGCGGGTTGCCTAGTGTTACGCTCGAGGCCTCTCTTACGAGGAGGAAAGGGTGGCCAGTTGGAGGCCCAGTATGGTAGGCTGCTTAATTTCCTGGAAGGGGCGATTGGATGGAAAGAGGCCAGGAACCCCGGCCTGAGCAAGACTGCCGGGCACCCCACAGTCTGACTGCACAGAGCCGCCTCTGTTGGCAGAAGGCGCTGAGGCTCCCCTTCCTGTGTATTCAGAATCCGTGTTTGCCAATATATTTTGCTTTCAATTCCAAGAGGAGCTCTGGGAAAACCTGTGGATAAAACCAAATGCCAAACGTTGGACGTTGTTTCCTTTTCCATTTCTCTCTCTGATTGTTTTAATTGTTCTGTGGTGGTTTTAATGGATTTGAGACCCTGGAGCGGCAGCTGCCTTTCTGATTTCCAGCTGCTTTTTGTGAATAATTTAAAAAGAAAAAAAAAAAAAAGAAACTTTACATTTTGGAGACAAACCTGTGTGAGTTTTTTATTGGTACAAACGTTGTATTTAACACTAGGGGTTTTGTACAGTTTTTTGCCTTTTCTACTAGAAAACAATGTAAAGTGATTTCACAATGTGAAGAGAAAAAAAATTGCCACTATGACCAAACGCACAGTCTGTTCTGCAGCAACAACGGGATTCAATCAACTCAAAGTCGTGATTCAGCCGTAGAAATGCTTTTCCTTTACTTTGTTTGAGCTTTTCCTTTCTTTCCTGTTTTGATTTGCAAAAGAAAATGTCTTTTTTGTGTGAACTTGTGTTGTACTATGTAGAAAATTATGGATTTTACTTTAATGGTTTAAAAAAAAAAAGGCAAGAAGAGCCCTTGTCGCTTTTCTGACCTGATCACAGAGTTTGTGTAGTGGATTAAAAAAGAAAAAAAAAAATGTTAAAAGTTTGGAGCAAGGGAGTATGTGTTTAAAAGGAATCTCCTTCCTTTTTTTGTGTGTTTTTCCTTTTGTCCCGATGGGGAACCTAAATCTGTTTTAATTGCACAGACACACGGACAAAAAGTCATTTTGTATCTGCCAAGTGTGGTACCTTCCTTTGTTTATTTGCTATTAAACTGTTTGAGAAGAATTAATGTTGTCTTCAGAGTTATTGATTGTTAGTGAGCGGCGGGTCCCTTAGACTGGTGGGATTGGTGGCATCCTGGAGAAGGGTGGGTGCCCTGGTGTGGTGGCATCTCGATGTACCTGTTCGCATGCAGCTGAACCCACCAAAGGC